TTGGGGGGGGGGTTCCTTATTATAGTTATAGTATACATACTATGACCTCAAAACCATTCATTCCCAAGCAACCTTCTTGCTGTGCCTTTGACCTTTCTCGTGGTGCTTTGGCTCGGGGCCCTACGCTTCATCGACCTCCTATAGGGCAGCATTGCAGGCTTTGGGTTTAGGGTTTAGGGTTTAGGAGGCCCAGGATCTCAAGAAATGGCAGCAACGGTTTAGGGTTTAGGGTTTAGGATGGTCTGCTGATGATGATGATGATGATGGTGGTTGTGGTGGCGGTAGATCGCGAAAATGAAGAAAGATGTGATGGCTATGACACTGGCAACGACAAAAGCCTACTTATGCGGGATGTAATGGCAGAACCACATTGCTGATACTACTGCTATACGGCGAGTTGAAAGATGAAGATTTACAGCGAGACACGACATCTGCAAGTTCTGGGTAAGAGGCAACATTGTGGTTTCGGTCGTTCAGTTGCTTGTGACTTTGTAAGCGCCGTTGTTGTAGGAATGAGTTAAGCAATAACATAGCGGCACAATGGGGAAACGCTGACCGTTATATGCAGTCATCACACCATGACGTTAGCAAGTACAAGCGTCATCATCATTGCCATCATCCCCCAGATCGACATCGACATCGTCATCATCACCAGCATCATCATCACCGTCATCATCATCATCATCATCATCATCATCATCATCATGAGCATCATCATCAACAACAACGAAATCATTATCATCATCACCGGCACCGAAAACAGCATCGCCATCATCGCCGCTATTGTTGTCAGCACCCTCATCTTCCTCATCGTCATCATCATCATTGCCATGATCATCATCCTCATTTCACCGCCACTTCCATTGCCATCTGCAGCATCATGATCGCTATGATCCTGAATTTGGGCATACTGGCCGCCGTGTCGTCGCAGAGAAAGACCCGAGGCAAGATCGAAAGCTTCAGACATTACTCCGATCTGAACATCGAAGCCATGAGAGACTGGGACTGCTTCTTCTGATGCTTCTAGCCCTTGCGCAGTCAGGTGGAGAGAGGTTGTCCATGAACAGTTCTAGGAATCAGAGTCAGAAGTGCGGTCGGAGCATGAAGATGCCGAATCTTGCTTGCAGCTGCAAGCTACTATTGTTATCCTGCGAAACATAGGTGCGGGTGACTTTAGATGCTAGTTACTCGTCCTGTTTAGCAGGGCTTTTCTCAATATGTATGAGGGCACCGTTGCCTCATGTGTTTTCTGCTGTCATGGTCATTGAGTCAAATATACGTGTATATATCTATATATATATATACGAACATACATACATATTGCCGGTGAATTGAAACATCGCAAGATGACAACTAGGGCCGAGCAACGCGCCAGGTGTGGGGATAGAATGACAAGGTGTGCTAAGGAGTTTGGCTTATGCCGAAATACGTCACGAATGGTTGGTGTAGCCGTAGCTGCCTGCAGAAATGTGAGGCAGCTGCATGCAATCAAGAATTTTAGTGGCAGTGTCCAGGTGCGCATATCATAGAAGGGTCGCGCCCACCATGGCGAAAGGCCGTGACTGCCACAGTCGCCTAACCCCCTTCCGCCGGCACGTCTGGACGACACCGCCGCCGGCCCATGTGCAGCCTGTACCTGGAGGAAGGAGTGGTCAGAAGACTGTTCTCCGGGGTGAGTCAGTGGGATCATGTCCAGCCGCGCTCAGCAAAGGAAAGATCATCAAGAAGTTTGACAAGCGCTTCCACTGCTCATTCCACGATTCAATCGGTGGGACGCCCAGGAGTTTACTGCATGTCCATGGTGCCCGCTGTACATGACGGCATCGCAGATTGGTTCTCCGCATGGCTAGGTGATGTAGGGTGGTGCAAGATGGTCCTAAGCTGTTCCCCACTTCATGGCTGTAAGGCCTATATCCGGTCATGTTTCTTGCTTTGTGTGCATGGTGCAGGGGAGAAATTGTTCATGGGCACTGTGTCGGGGCTATTCAGTCGTAGCATGCGCCTACACCTCGAGCTCAATGTCTCAATCTATTTCGATGGAACTTACTATAAAAGCGTGCATCAACCAGGCAGTCCCCCGACAAGCCTACGGCCTACGTGTAGTCGAGTTGCTTCTGCTTCCCTATCAAACCTAACACCGATAGGATCTAAGATGCTTAGAGCACCATTTGGAGGTATGTACACAAGGCAAGCATAGATCGAGTATCCGATCGGAAGGCCACTGCATTACACACGGTCTTGGTGATTCCTGACCGTGCAACTTCGCAAGCCATCTCCGAACTAGGTTTCTGTGCCCGCATGATGAGCAAGGTTTTAAAGATGATTAATGCTGGACTTTTCTATAGCGTAGGTTGTTGCACGCGGAGATTCAATTATGTTCTAACCTTCTATAAACTATAACCGGCCCAAGTCACGACAAAGCCGGCCCGAAGACTTGGACTAAGTTAGACTCGTTATGGGCGGAGGGTAATTACTATGGCGAAACCAGGGTACTATGGCTAAACTACCTGGGGTCCACAAAGGGTGGTGTTGCTCAGTCGACTTAGGGTTTTAGGGTTTAGGGTTTAGGGTTGCAACAATTTTCCTCCCCCAGAAGGCACCAAGCAGACCTGCAAGAGCGAAGAGACCCGAGTCCGTTCATGGATTCGGCTCAGGTCCTCAGTTCTATTCCCCTAAACAGCATAAACCCTATAGGGTTCCGGGTTCAGGGTTTAAGGTTTAGGGTTTAGGGTTCAGGGTTTAGGGTTTAGGGGTTTAGGGGTTAGGCAACTACAAGCCCTATGGATTGACGGGAAACTGTCAGGTTCAACGCGCAACTATAGTTGCGCGTTGAACCTGAAAGTTTCCCGTCAACCCAACCCTCCCCAAATCAAACCTAAAACGATGATAGACAACTCAACCCCTAAACCCAAAGCCAACCCTCAAACTCTAGGTCAACCCTACAACCTAAACCCTTTATAAGTTAGTCCCAAGCAGCCCTCAAGAAAGGCTTGCCCTCGACGGCAGGCCAGCTGGTGACGGCCAAGGCGCTCACTTCGGGAATGGAGTTGGCTTTAGGGTTCAGGGTTTACGGGATGAAGTCTCTGGGCTTTTCGGCCCCGTGTTTGTTTTTTTCGGGGATTGTTTTGAGTTGCTAGGAATCTAGAGCAGAACAACCTCATGAGCTGAAGGTTCGAACAGCGCCGGTCAGAACTGTTACTAGAATCATTTATAATCATTGCCCGGTATCAAGAAGTACGGAGGGCCAGCACTTGAGGCTTCAAAGATCCTGAGAGTACTGTAGCGGTCCGAATAATCGGTAACAAGTAACACTATCGTCTTACAGTCCGCATACAACTATACTGCAGCATCCCCGCAGACTCCTAAACCCCCCCTCCAAATAAAGCCTACAACCCTAGTTCCCAACCCGGGGAGCCCCACGACCCGCAGAAATCTCTACTACTACTACTACTACTACTACTACGACGACTACGACTACGACGACTACTACGACTACGACGACTACTACGACTACTACGACTACTACGACTACTACGACTACTACGACTACTACGACTACTGCTACTTTCATTACTATTAATATGAGTTATTGTTGCTTTCGGTCCATCAGTTCGAAAGGCCTTCTTCTCAAGCAACGTACGCGTGCCAGCAACAGAGAGCGGATGTTCGACCTCCACGAAAACGAATCCTCAACCGCTCTATGTTTCAAGCCAACCTCAAACCCAATCACTGTGAGCACAACACTCTAGCTTCCATACTACCTGATGTAGAAGCCGGAAAAACCACGATCTTATTCGTTAGCGTTCCTCATTCTACGTATACTATAACAGACACGACGACACCTACTGAACTATGAGCTAACTTGAACCTTGTACTTAATGTTTCAAAGACTGAACTGATAACTACTTATAACTTATAGCCTCATTTGAGCTACTTGTAAAAGCATACTTACTAAGTCCCATGGTCCAAGACAAGAGTCAAAATTCTAATCCTCAAACCCAAAACCGTAAACCCTAATCCCTAAACCCTAAAAACCAATCCCTAAATCCTAACCCCTAAACCCTAAACCCTAATCCCTAAACCCTAAACCCTAAACCCTAAACCCACAACTCCAAGGACCGGTTGTGCATCGAGCGCGGCGTAGGCATCGATGGCGTGGACGGGCGCCGCCAGCCCGAACGACACACCGCGCCTGGGACGCTTCAAAGGATTCCAAGATCTTTTTATCAATCGGGTTAATACTGGGGCCTTAATAATTGCCTATACTATTTTGGGGGTTCCTCATTATAATTATAGTATAATGGGCCCCAAAACCCTATTCTAACTATTCAGGCCCCTATATTAAGGTTTAGGGCTTAGGGTTCTGGGTTAGGGTGGGGTTTGGGGTTTCGGATTCATCTGCTTAATAAGGGTTTGCGGGTTGCTATATCAACTGTCTATCGGATTGTTTTCAATCGTTTCACAGGGTTTAGCCTATGCTCTGTGAATGATACTGTTGATGGACAAAATCCTGCATGACCCAAATATAGTATAGTACCATAAACCCCATAGTTTAGGTATATATGGTCTTGCAGGATTTTGTCCATCAACAGTACCAGGCTTCTCATCATGAACTACACAAACTCCTCACTCTGAAATTCCAAGGGCTACAGACGTCGGGTCTCCGCTGCATCGGAGTACCATCTGACGCAAGCTGCTCTGTACCTAAAATCCGGGACCCCAGATGGCTTACCTTTTCAAGGTTTAGGGTTTAGGGTTTAGGGTTTAGGGCGTATAAGGAAATCCTAAGCCCTAAACGCCAAACCGCTAAAAGCAAGGGTTATAATGTAGAAGCCGGAATAATGACCAATACCATTCTGGTGATTCCTTATGGTAATTATACTTTATCATATCATATCCCAAAACTCTATTCTATTTATTAAGGCCCCTAAGCCCTAAACCCTAAACCCTAAACCCGGTTTACCCTAAACCCTAAACCCTATACCCCCAAAAAGGAAGGGCTATATGGGGTTCAGGCAAACCCTATAGGAACCCAGAACCTGGCACCCGAACCTGAAGCCCTCAACCCTAGATATGACGCTCCAACTACGAAGCTAAGCCATTTTAGGGTTTAGGCTTCAGGGTTTTGGGTGCAGGGTTGCGGGTGTAGGGTTTAGGGTTTAGGGTTTAGGTTTTAGGGTTTAGGGTTCAGGGTTTAGGTAGTATCTAAAGCCTCAATACTAAGCCCCCATGTGGGAAGCTCAGGGTTTAATCCTCCATGCCGAATCATGACCTCAGGTGCATTGCCTGCTCGTGGGCATCTGCCAGGACGCTTTTTTTGTTTCGTAGGGTAGTATAGCATAAGGACCTGAAGCTTAAGCCCTAAACCCTAAGCCCTCCGCTATTCAGATCATCTTTCTAAACTTGGTTTAGATCATCAGACGCCAGACGTCCTCTGCACCGACCTCTTAGGGGGGGTGGGGGGGGGGGCTTGAATACCCCCAACAAGGACATGATAAGGGTTTGTATACTTGCTTAAACCACCTAAGGTTCCTTATGAGTATAGTAGTCTTAGAAGCCGGAAGAAGTACACATGGTAGTCTCTAGAATTTCTTAACGGAATTCGAGTATAGTTTAATATGGGGCCTTAATCATTATTTTAAGGGTCCTTTACAGTAACAAGGAACACCCAAAATGATATAGGTAATTATTTAGGCCGCTATAGCTCACCCTACAGCACGAACCCTAACCCCTAAACCCAAAGCCCTAAACCTAAACCCTGCAGCAGTTTCAGCGTTCCACACGGGATTACGGAAGCATACCCAGGCTGACATCGCAAGACCAGCCCCCCCAAACCCTCATGTTCAGGGTTTAGGCTTTGTAGGTGTTTAGTATTTAGGGTTTAGGTTTTTACTCATATGCCCGGCAGAACCGCGCCCAATCGCAGCAGCAGTGATAGAATCATTGGCTCAACCCGCTAGCTTAGAATCTACATCCAAGACCCCTGTCCTAAACCCGAACCCATTCACCCTCCACCCTAAACTTTGCAATCTTGGGCACTGAGCCATAATGCTCATAATTATATGATATAGAATTCGTTTTTAACGCCAACTAGGAACCTGGAACAACAGAACAGACTCCGTGAAGGGTTCTGTACGGGCTTGAGGATTTTGTGGCCATCGACAAGCCGCTCAGCCTAACCCCGTAAACCCCAAACACTTGCTGGTCTCGAAAAAAAAAACTGAACTTTCCCTACTAAGTCAATCAGCCTTTTTTTGGTGCTCTCGCCCTCTGTCTCTCTCTGTCTGCTTGTATCTTTCTGTTTACACAAAGCCGGCCCCAACTTCCGGAACCCAGAGAACCCAATACCCTTAATTAAGGAATATGACTTAAATCATAATATTAAGGCCCCTGTAATTTAAGGTATATTCCTTAATTAAGGTGTATTGGGTTCTCTGGGAAGCTTCGTTCAGTGACAGAACTCCGGCTTTGGCATTCTCACGAAGCCCAGCGGCGCTGATCTCTGGTCCTTCGAGGAGCTCGCTCTTACATAATAAATAAATCAGTAAATAAATAAATGAATATATATACATATACATACATATATATATATATATATGAATATGTATATTTCTATATATATATATACATATATGTATGTATATATATATATGTATATGTATATGGTATATATATATATATATGTATGTATGTATGTATGTATGTATGTATGTATGTATGTATGTATGTATGTATGGATGTATGCATGTATGTATATATATATATATATGCGCATGCACATATACATATACACAGGCATAGGAACGTTAATGCAACATGTATATAATTACGCCATAACATGCATATGCAGATTGCACATGTATATATATATATATATACACACACACACACATGTACGCGCGGGTGTGTGTGTGTGTGTGTGTGTGTGCGCATACATGTTGGAAAGACTAGGGTAGGTTTAGTCGAAATAAGCGCGTTTTAGGGTTTCCAGATCGTTTCGGGGCTCTTTTTGGTCTGGAGTAGTTATACAGGGGCTTAAGAGTTTAGGGTTGAGGGCTTTTGTTGAACACAGGAAAGGGGTTCACGAGCTTTAGGGAGCCCGAACACTTTGCCTGGACTCAAGATTAGGAGTAGGAGTTCACGTTTAATTTAAACATACGCTTTAGGATACCTTGTCATGATTTTGCGAGAAGTCTCCTTCCTCAGGTAAGCCGAGGGTTTTTTTGCTAGAGATAGGGTTTAGGGTTTCATGCCAGGTGCTTTTCTCCGACCGTGGCAACGCTGACGTCATCACTTGGCTCGGCACGCAGGAGTACTGGGGCACGGAGGTTCGCGTGGAGGTCGAGGGAAGTCTCGACGGCTCGGGGCACCTGCACGTGGACAGCATCAAGCGCTTGAACGATGGCAGTGTATGGCAAGGAAGTGGTGCAGCAGGCGCTGGCACAACTACCTCCACCACCCCCAGTACTACAACGACCCCTCAGACAACCCAAGTTACAACTTCAACAACAGAAGCAAGCACTTCTACCACAACCCCAGGGACAACTTCCACCACCACCCCAGGAACTACTTCCACTACAACAGGAACAACCTCCACCAGTACCCCGGGAACTACTTCCACTACCACCCCAGGACCTACTTCCACTACAACCCCAGGAACAACTTCCACCAGTACCCCGGGAACAACCTCTACTACCACTCTCGGCACTCCGAACTCCGACAGCTCCACAACAGGCCCCTAAACCCTAAAGCCTAAACCCTAAGCCCTAAACCCTAAACCCTAAACCCCACACCTTCAAACCCTAACTCCCTCAACCCTGAAACCCTAAAGCCCTGCCCTAGAGCCTAGAACACCCAAAGCCCCTACAGTGACGAAACCCATGGAACCACCTTAAGCCCTAAACCCTTAAGCCCCTTAAGCCCTCAAGCCCTTAAGTCCTTACACCCTGTAACCCCTAAACCCTAAACCCTTAGACCCCTAAGCCCTAAACCCGAAACCCTAAACTCTAACCCTAAACTCTTAAACCCCCAAAACCCTAAACCCTAAACCCTAAACCCTAAACCCTAAACCCCTAAATCAGGTCCCTTGGCGAACCCCTCGGCGACGTCTGGGGCTGGGCCACTCGGGCGGCTGCCGTGGCTTCTCGGACTCGGCCTGGCCCTCTGGCCGTCGCTGGCGTGAGAGGGCTTTGGGGTTCCTTGGGTTTCGGGGTTTTAGGGTTCCAGGGCTTCGGGTTTGGGGTTTAGGGTTTAGGGTTTAGGGTTTAGGATTGAAGGTTTAGGGTGTAGGATTCAGGGTTTGGCATTTAGGATTTAGGTTTTAGGGTGTAGGATTTAGGGTTTGGGCTTTGGGGGCTCTGATTCACAGGGTTTTCATCAGGGCTTTCAGACATGTGTTCAACGCGTTTGTGGGGATGCTCGAGGGTAACCCTCAGATTCGACCTGAAACCTAAACAACAGACATTTTTATACCCTAAACCCTAAACCCTAAACCCTAAACCCTTTGTATGGTTATGTCTTCTTCGTCAAAGCATCCCAAAGCCTCAAGCCTGAAGACCAAGCCCTAAACCCCTAAAGACCCTAAAGACCCTAAACCCTAAACCCTAAACCCTAAACCCTAAACCCTAAACCCCCACAAAAAAGCCCAAAATCATAAACCCTGAATCCTAACTTTAAGGCTTCGAGCGGATTGCTCGAGCCTGGTTCGAAAATCCCAAGGCCCTCGAACGTTTGCCTTTTCTTAGTGCTCTTTTTCCAGAGGTCCCATACCAGACAACCCAGGATTTCTTGGGTTTAGGGTTTAGGGTTTAGGGTTGTCCCATACAGGGATTACCGGGTACCTTGCTTCTACGAAAAGAGCACTAGCTGCATTTTTGGGGCCCGGACACAGCGCCGGCCCCGCTTGAAGCGGGGTGGCTGCCATGCGACAAACTTGTCCAAGCGCGCCCGTGGGCAGGCTGGCTTTAGTCCTTTGCATTCCCAGTAAAGTCACCCTAAGCCCCAAACCCTAAACCCCCCTAAGCCCCAAACCCTAAACGCTAAACCCAGATCCTAGTAAACCAGAATTCTGAATTCAAGCTGGAGGCCGTCCCACCTTCAATGAAACCGGAAGCGCCGAGCATTAGAGGATCTGAGAACCTTACTATTGATTGTGATGATGAGTATTCCTGTTCTGTTCTGCATAAACTGCATTTTTTGCAAATAAGTGTGTGTATGTGTGTATGTGTGTGTATGTGTGTACGTGTGTGTGTGTATGTGTGTATGTGTTTATGTGTGTATGTACGTACGTACGTATGTACGTATGTACGTATGTACGTATGTACGTATGTATATATGTAT